TGAAAATCAATGTAAACATATCCTCAGGTGAGGATAAAAAAATAATAAAGAAATGTTATATCCTATGAAAGACACATCTTGAAAATGCCTAAAGAAAATTGTCATTTTTTTCATGGTGAAGGGACTGGAGTCCATGTTGATGAAAAAACCTTGGTGGCTACGGTAACTGGCAGTGGCTGCAGCATTCCCCTGATCAGCCCAGTCACCTCCCACAAAGGGAGGCCAGACTGCGGCTTAGGCCCGCTCTCCAAGGGGAGCTGGGAGCAGGCCTAAGCCATCAATAGGACATCCCCTGAGGGCTCCCAGTATGTGAGAGGGGGCAGGCTGAGCTGAGGGCCCCGCCCTCCAGTGCACGAATTTCGTGCACCAGGCCCCTAGTTGTCAGTAATAGCAAGCTATAGCTGCTATTAGCTATAGCTGTATCAATTAGATACAATTCACTTGGCTCCATCTCTCTCACTCAACCACTCATAACTTTAAAATAGTAAAGGGCAAAAGAAAATGGCTCATCAAAATTTTTAGCACCCTTAGAAGCCTCATTCTCTCTAAAAACTAATTCAAACTGACAGAATTCAAGCTTGAAACGACCACTTTTCCCAGGTTGAAAAACTAAGGTACCATCAAAAATTTTCTAATAGTGTAAAAATGACAATAAACCAGCTACAATTTGAGTTATCTTTGATGGGCCAACTATTATACTAAGTGCTTTTCGTTTTTCTAATCTTATATAATAAAAGGGTAATAGGCAAATCGACCAAAAAGAAGGACCAGTTGCTATGATGTGCACTGACCACCAGGGGGCAGACGCTCAACACAGGAGCTGCCCTCTGGAGGTCAGTGCACTCCCACAGGGGGAGCACCGCTCAGCTAGAAGCCAGGCTCACAGCTGTCGAGCACAGCCTCTCCTGCCACTGCTAAGGATGTCCAACTACTGACTTAGGCCCACTAAGCTGTCAGGTGGACATCCCTCAAGGGCTCCCGGACTGCGAGAGGACACAGGCCAGGCTGAAAGAACTCCCGCCCCCTCACCCTCGCTGAGTGCACGAATTTTGTGTACCAGGCCTCTAGTTATTACAATAATCATGCTAGGAGTATATATACATTTTACTGATAAAACTGCAAGTTAAACTTAAGAAACTTGCCAAGGCCATACAGCCTTTTTTGTTAATGGGCTAAGACTGAATCCAGGTGTGCCTGATGTTGTTGCCAACTAACACTGCATTATGCAAAATTACTTCACAATAAGATTCTAGAGACCTAGAAAACACTTGGTTCAATCCTTACCATTTGACCTCTTTGAACCTCAATTTCTCCTAATTGTAAAAAGAACTCTCCAAATTGTTTTGGTAAACCAAGAGTCAAAAATAGTATGATTCTGCCTTAGCTGGTTTGGCTCAGTGGACAGAGTGTTGGGTCCCAGGTTCGATTTCAGTCAAGGGCACATGCCTGGGTTGCAGGCTCAATCCCCAGTGGGGGGTGTATAGGAGGCAGCCAATCAGTGATTTTCTCTCATCACTGATGTTTCTATCTCTCTCTCCCTCTCCCTTCCTCTCTGAAATATATATATATGTATATATAGATATGTATCTATATATGTATATATAGATACATATATCTATATATACATATATACATATCTATATATACACAATGATTATTCTGCAAACAGAATATTTGATTTACTATTAAGTAGACACAATATAGAAAAAAATGTACAGGAATTCCTCATTTTATTGCACTTTGCTTTATTACGCTACACAGATACTGTGTTTTTTGCAAATGGAAAGCAAGACTCTCCATCAGCCAAAGGATTATGGCTCTCATTATTGCAGTATCTCCAAGGTATGCTGGTACAAAAGTTATTCATTGCCAAGAGTAAGAAACTGGAAACAACCAGAGTTTAGCATTAAGTGAGTAGCTGAATAAACTTGCAATACATCCACAGAGCAAATACACAGATATAAAAAAGCTCTCCAACTTTGTGAAAAGTTTTCAATCTATATTATTAAAGGGAAAAGGAAAAGTATAGATCAGTGTGTATATGTTACATTTTAAATAAGGTGGTAATAAGCATACATACTTTTGCTTGTATCTGTATTGAAAATGTTAAAAAGATATAAACAAGAAATTTAAAAAAATGCTTATCTATAGTGGGCAAGGGGAAATGGAGTAAATCAAAATGGCATGAGCCCTAGCTGGTTTGGATCAGTAGGTAGAACGTCGGCCTGTGGACTAAAGGGTCCTGGATTCGATTCCGGCCAAGAGCACATGCCCAGGTTGTGGGCTCCATCCTCCACCCAGTAGGGAGCATGCAGGAAGCAGCCAATCAATGATTCTCTCTGATCATCGATATTTCTATCTCTCTATCTCTCTCCCTTCATCTCTGAAATCAATTAAAAATAAACATCCAAACAGATTTTGGCAAAAATAAACATAAAAAATTTTTTTAAAGATGGCATGAAAACATGACATAACGGAATAAAAGTTTTTATGTCATTCTAATTTTGGAATCATATATGTGTCAAATATTAAATTAATAATTTAAAAACTTGGACTTTACCTTTGCTACTTGAGGTCTTCCAAAACATGCAGCATAATGTAATGATGATGATCTTTGACCTCTATTAACATCAGCACCTCTTTCACAAAGAAATTCTACCTGTAAAATGATGAAGAATCATAAAGTTGCCTTATTAATATTTCTACCTTTGATTTAAAACATTAACTATTATTTGTTAGCTTACCATTTCCTGAGTTCCAAAAGCTGAGGCCCAATTTAACAGAGTCTGACCCACATCATCCATAAAATTTACTTCAAAGGCTAGAAGTTTGAAGGGGAAAAAATAAATTTTTTAAAAGCCAACAAAATAATACTGAATTTTTCTAAAGTGGGAGCCATTTAAAGATTATTAATGATCACTAAATACAAAGCTAATTTTAAACATTTAGATCAACTATAGCGTAGTTAATAATCAGCAAACATAAATTCTGCTAAGAAAAAGTATTCTAAAATTTTAAAAGCCACTTAAGATTTATAAGGATTTAACCCTTAAAAATAAACAAGACAAAAATGAAAAAAAAATTAATACATAACACAACTCAATAGGGTACTAAACTAATGCCATACCTATGGAAAAGAAACAAATCCCCATTTTTAATAAAAATAACATAGGCCCTCGCCAGGTGCCTCAGTTGGTTAGTGTCGTGTTTGTTAATCTTATTCATTTTTAGAGAAACATTAATGTGAGTGAAACATTGATTGGCTGCATTGATTGGCTGTCTCCTGCATACACCCGACTGGGGATCCAGCCCAAAACCCGGGCATGTGCTCTGTCCAGAAGTCGAACCAGCAACCTTTCAGTGCCTGAAATGATGACCAACCAACTGAGCCATACTAGCCAAGGCTAGAGAAACATCTTGATGCACCAAGGTTGCAGTTTCAATCCTGGGTCAGGGAACATACAAGAAGAAACCAAGAATGCATAAATAAGTGCAACAACAAATCGATGTTCCTCGCTCTCTAAAAATTAATTTTTAAAAATGTTTTAAAAAGAACACAAAAGACAAGTCTGATGACCATGAAGCATCTTTCACCAATTTATATTTTATTCATAACTTCATGAAGCAATCTTAAAAAATTTACTATAACTGACTTGTGCCAAATTCGTTAACCTTGAGAATATAACAGCCCTAAATTCAATCTGTAAGTCACCTTAGAATTGGCATGATCTAGTTCTGGCAATGATCTCATTCTGGCAATAAAACGGGTAAATTTCATTTACTCATTGAAGGAGCATTTACTAAGGTCTTACCACATACAAGACTGATATTTATATACATGGGGAGAAGAGAGATTATTGAAGGGTTCTGGCCATTATCTGGCACAATTGCTAAAAATACTGTCCAAAATCTAGAAACTAGAAAATGCCTATATAAGTCCTTATCTCAGTTTTCTTTTTATTTTTCAATCCTCACCCAAGGATATGTTTTATTGATTCTAGAGAGAGAAGAAGGGGGAGGGAGGGAGAAAGAGAGAAACATCGATCAGTTGCCTCCTGTAAGCATCTTGACCAGGGATTGAACCCAAAACCTAGCTATGTATCCTGACCAGGAATAAAACTAGCAACCTTTTGTTATATGGGATGACACTCAACCAACTGAGCCACCCGGACAGGGCTTAGTTGTTTTTTTGATATGAGAAAAGGTTTTCCAACCTCCTGTGTCAATTGCATCTATAAGGGCATCGGTATCTTTACTTCGAATACAGTCTATAAGCTGCCGATGTGAGCGCTCTCCTGAACTATCCAATCTCCGGAGTCCTGGGATTCTGCCTGTAGATCCAGCACTAGACTTTGGCAAAGCCTTTCGTCCTTCAAATAATAGCACCAAAAGAAGGTCAACCAAACGCATGGTATCAAGCACACATCTTTCGTCACCCTGCAATGCACTCTCAATTGAATCTGGAAGCTCTGACCTCAGGAGGTCCTAGAAAGAGAATGAGGATAAAAGAGTTTAATATATTTACATTATATAAAAACACTTTTTCTGAAAGATTAAAAATATAATTCAAAAATATTCTTACGTGTGTTACTACTGGAGAGCCTCTGCAAAGTGTTGAGAGCAGACTTACAATTGTGGATACCTGGTTACTCAATTTGGAATCTGCAGCTGTGGAAGGCGCACCTGTGGTGCTGCGACCTGGTTTGCAAGCTGATGATGGCCCTGATATGGTACCACCAGCAGCAGCCATTCGAGATAAGAGCTCTTCAGTTAATCCATGTTTGGCTAATGGAGCTGGGTCAACACCACGACGGGTGAATCGGTCAGCTAGTGATGCAAAACATCGCAGAGCTCCATCCGAAACCTAATGTGTAAAGAATATGCATATTGATAAAATTCACCTAGGCCCTGGAAGGGTAGCTCAATTGCTTAGAGCAGTGGTTCTCAACCTTCTGGCCCTTTTAATACAGTTCCTCATGTTGTGACCCAACCATAAAATTATTTTCGTTGCTACTTCATAACTGTAATGTTGCTACTGTTATGAGTCATAATGTAAATATCTGATATGCAGGATGGTCTTAGGCGACCCCTGTGAAAGGGTCATTTGACCGCCAAAGGGGTCGCAACCCACAGGTTGAGAACTGCTGCGATACACTAAGGTTGCAGCTTCAATCCGTCAGTAAACATACAAGAAGTAACCAATTAATGCATAAATACATGGAACAGATGGGTGTTTTGTTTTCTCTCTCTCCCCGCCCTCCCCCACCCCCCGCAAATCAATCAACAAATAAAAATTTTTAAATTCCCCTAAATAAAAAGGGCTAATACTGCTTATTTCAATACTGATACTATAAGAAAGACAGCTGTAGCAAAGAGATTAAGGCTTACAATCTGTCTAGAGTTTAACCCTGGCTTCACACTCTAACTATATGACATGAAAATGTTACTTAACTGCCCAAGGCCTCGGTGCCCTTATCTGTAAAATGGGAATAATAGTACCTATAACTCACTGTCTGAGCTTAATAATGATATATGTAAAGAACCTAGATGGACATCAAAAGCTCCATATTAACTAACATGATATAAAACTTTGCCAAGATAACCTATAAATATCAACTAAAAATTAACATCTGAATGTTAAAAAAACATTAAAAGTTAACTTTTAACTTCTCAAATATGTGAATTCAACCAGTTTACACATATAAGATTTTAAATACTGTGTTATTTTACTTCACTGAGAACTATTTTAAGTCAACAAAATTGTGCTGAGTCAACAAATTAGAGTACAAGTGTAGCTTTAAAACTTATATATTTCTAAAACATTTAAGTTTTAGAAATAAATACATTACCAGTTTTAAGAATTTTTTAAATTGATTTTTAGAGAGAGAGGAAGGGAGAAAAACATCAATGTAATAAAGTGGAGCATCGATCGGCTGCCTCCTACATGCCCCCTAGTGGTGACTGAGCCTGCAACCTGACGACACCCAACCAACTGAGCCACAATGCCACAATGGCCAGGGCAAACACATATTACTTTTAATTTAAAATGTTTCACTGCCAAAACAAAATATGATTACTATATAGAGATATAAAGTGAGAGAAAGAGAAGATGGAACGACCTGTACAGTGCATCATAGTTATAAATAAGGGACACTATAAAATCACTTTTTAAAATCAAAGTACACAACAGTGCTTTACTTACCTGGTGATCTTCATGTTTTAATAAACTAGACAGAGATTCCACACAAATTTCTAAAGAAGAATCTTGAGGTTCCATTTTGCCACAGAGTCTTGATACAACAGCCATGGCGGAGTGCAAGGTATCTTTATGAACCAGGTGTCCACTGTCACGAATGAAGGTAAGCACACAATTCAAACCACCAGCCTCGAAGACCGCTCCTGACTCACGAGTGCATATCAGTTCCAGCACCTATAACAGTAAAACAAAATTAACAAAAAAATACAGTAAGTTCAATTTTAATTATCTAGAATCACAGAAAATGTACGGTACCCTCCCATTTATTAGTAACCACATTTTCTAAGAGTAAAAAAATTTGGTAGCCACATTTGAAATGTTTAATACTCATATGACTACCATATTGGACAATGTAGGTTTAGGTGATGAAACCTACATGGCATGCTAAGAAACTATAAATAATTTACAAAAGTTTGTGAAGATTCTAAACATTAAAAAAAAAAAAACTTTTTTTTTTTTTTTTTTTTTGCCCAGCCAGTGTGCTCAGTTGGTTGAATGTCGTCCCATGCACCAGGAGGTTGCCAGTTTGATTCCCAGTCAGGGTACATGCCCAGGTTTCGGGCTCAATGCCTAGTAGGGGACATGCAGGAGGCAGCTGATTGATGTTTCTCTCTTATCTATGTTTCCTTCTCTCTCTCCCTCTCCCTTTCTCTCTCTGAAATCAATAAAAACATATTTAAAATTTTTTTTCAATAAATGCTAAGTATTACATTATTCATCATCCTCACTCTTACTCTGAATATCAAAACATTAAAAATCAACTTTCACTTTCTAAATTATGTTCATGTGTAAGGTGTTCTGATAGAACTAAAGAATTAATAGGGTCTATAGGTCATACAGGCATATGAGAAATTTAGACTTTGTTCTGAAAGTAAGAAAAATGTTTTAAGCAGGGAAATAATATGATCAAAATTTCAATTAATAACTGAGAAATGGGGTATGAGGAGAGTGTAGCAGTTGTAAAAATTCAAGCACTGATATTCAAAGAGGATAAAGGCTTTACTAAGGCACTAAGAGCAGGGACAAACAATAAAATAAACTAGAAAAGGACTTCATCATTACATGTGTGAAGTGGAAAAAAGGGTAAAACAAAAACTTCTGTCTTGAGTGTCTAGGTGAAAGTTAATGCCAATTATCAGAATAAGAGTTCACCTGTATGAAAGATAATGAATTCAGCTGGAACCATCCAACAGGCCTTTGAATATGAGGTCTAGAACTCAAGAGTGAGGTCAGGTATAAAGATGTGAGGGGCATATATATATGAATGGCACTAAAGCTGAGAGATGAAACCATCTAGGCAAAGTTTAGTTTTAAGAAGGTAAAATCAGTTTTTGGGAAATACTACCATTGAAGATCATCTATATACATAAAAGTGTAATATGCAAATCGACCAGACGGTGGAATGACTGGTCACTATGACGTGCACTGACCACCAGGGGACAGGCGCTTACTGCAGGAGCTGCCCGCCAACCTCTTCGTCCCTCTCCCAAGCTGGCAGGCTCTGATCGCCTGATGGGGAATGGGGAACTGGGGGTGAGTGGCGGCAGATGCAGGCAGTGCCAGGCCAAGGCGGGTGCAAGCAGGGCCCCGATCACCTCGCCAGTCGCCCCACAAACAGAGGGCGACTGGTGGCGGTGGCGGTGGGGCCGGCTGCGGGCAGCCGGGGAAGATCGGCCCTGATCGCAGGCCAGGCCTAGGGACCCTATCTGTGCACAAATTTCGTGCACCAGACCTCTAGTGAATTAGTAAATAAGAATAATCTGCAAAGGACAGAGAGAAAGGGAGAGTAGAGTGTAACAGACTAGAAAGAGTTTGAAAACACAGGTCAGTGTATAAGCAGTAGAGTAAAACCTCAGCCCTGGAAGAAACATGAAGTGATGTGATAAAGAGAATAATATGGGAGAAAAGCTCTAAACAGGAAAATGGATACCTCTTCCTCTGAGACTAGAAAAAGAAATAAATCTACAGCCACAAGGCAGAAAGCCAAGACATTAACAATTATAAACAGCAGCTCTCAAAGTCTGAGAAAGACATGATTTTGAGGGATCATTGAAGTCAAAACTTTTTTAATAATAATACTATCATGATAATTGTCTTTTTCATTCTCATTCTCTCAGGAGTATAAAGTGGACTTTTCCAGAAATTACGTGAAGCAACCAACTAAATGCAGAAGTAGATATGAGGATTTGGCTCTCTTCTATTAAGCCAGACATTTTTTAAAGGAACTTGCAAAAATAATTAACAATGCTACTCTTCTAATTTTCTGTTTGTTTGGGAAATAGTTATTTTCAAAAATGTAATGCATGTTAGCATGTAATAAGTTTATTTTCAGATATATTAAAAAATACTTTAGGCCTCTTCCAGAGACCCAGCTTGCTGAGCGGCCACCACTGCCCGTCACCGCTGCAACCGCACCAGGTTCTGGCCTCAGCCACCTTCCGCCGTCCAGTGCCCCTCTGTCCCCACCCCGGGACCCTGGCTCCCCGCCAGCCTCGGCCCGGCACCATGCCGGAGAAGAGCGTGGAGGCAGCGGCCGAGTTGAGCACCAAGGACCTGAAGGAGAAGAAAGAGAAGGTGGAGAAGGCGAGCCAGAAAGAGTGAAAGAAAGAAGTGGTGGAGGAGGAGGAGAATGGAGCTGAGGAGGAAGAAGAAATCGCTGAGGACAGAGAGGAGGATGAAGGAGAAGATGAGGAAGAAGAAGATGACGACAAGGGGACCGCGCTGAAGAGAGCTGCTGAAGAGGAGGATGAAGCTGATCCCAAGCGGCATAAGACAGAAAATGGGGCATCGGCATGAGCCCCCTGCCAATGGGCTGGGGAAAGAGGCCCCTCAAGGCCTGGAGATGGGGGCAGGAACAGTTCAGTGCAGCCACTCTTCACCTGACTCCTTGCTCTAGCCCTGCATCAGAGCTGCCACCCTCTTTCTCCCCAGCCTTCTCATGTCCACCTTTTCAGACACTGCCCTTCCATTCTCACTTGCCATTGTTCCACCTCCTGACCTGTCCCATCTGAGCTCCCCAGCTGGTCCCCAATTGCCCCCTTTCCCTCTTTTTTCTCTCTTCCTCCCTTGCTCCTACCCCTCCTCTGATAGCTTCTCCTTCGGAACCTCTGCATCCTAGCCTTCTGTCCTGTCCATCCCTCCCTGCCTGGTCCCTGGGTCTCCTTCAGATCCCCTTCTCTTAGTGCCAGGCCGGAGTGGAGCCAGGGTTGGGACCAAGCCCCACAGCTGCCCCCCACTCCTCCCCTTTTCGTATAATTTAATAAAGAAATGGTCGCACTTCAAAAAAACATACTTTAAACTTATCAATTTCATTATCGAATATGGGAAATATAGATTTAATCTCTATAAACAAAAGATCTTCAAGGGTCCTCAATAAGACTTGTAAAGGGGTCCTGAGACAAAAAGTTTGAAAACTGCTGACGTAGAACAAGAATCATAAAAAGAATAAGACAGGAATTACAAGAAGAGAATCATGTAAAATCCAAATGTGTTCACAAGTAGTTCCAATAAACTAGTGACCCAATACTGATGCTTTTATTATATTTTATTGATTTTTTACAGCGAGGAAGGGAGAGGAACTGAGAGTTAGAAACATTGATGAGAGAGACACTTCGATCAGCTGCCTCCTGCACACTCCCCACTCGGGATATGGTCACAACCAAGGTACATGCCCTTGACTGGAAACGAACCCGGGACCCCTCAGTCCGCAGGCCGATGCTCTAGCCACTGAGCCAAACCGGTCAGGGTGCAATACTGATACTTTTAGAGTCCCAGAGTTTGTAATTAGCCCCACCAGGAATAGAACAGCCAATTCTAAAACAATACAGCAAAATTGTTAAATCCATAGGCCCTAGAACCAGATTTTCTAATCTTCAAATGCGTGATCTTCAGATCTTGGCTCTGCCACTATGTGCATCATCCCCAGCTAGTCATTTAATCTCGGTATGCTTGATTTTTTTTTTCACCTCTAAAAGAGAAATTATAGATGAGTGGCACCAACCACATACAAAATTGTCATTAAGATTAAATGAGTTGGCTAAAGCTGTACATCTGAAATTTATGTAATGTTATTAACTAATATTACCCCCCCCAAAATTTTTTTAGACCAATTAAATTAATTAATACATATTAAGTATTTCATATGATACTGGCAATAGTGGTCAGTGTTATCTGTTGTGCTGGTGGTTTTTACTAGTTTCCTACCAGGTACAAATATCATTTTGGCTGGGAACAGGGACAACCTATCAAAAGTATTAGCAGCTACCAGAAGTAAAGAGCATTGAGGCAGCAAAGAAGAGCATTACCAGTGACCTGTAATTTTCCTTCAAAGATAAGATTTTTTTTTAAAATCTTCACCTGTGGATATTTTTTCCATTTATTTAAGAGAGAGTGGAAGAGAGGGAGAGGAAGAGAGAGAGAAACAATGATGGAAAGAGACACATCCACTGGTTGCCTCCTGCAACCAGGGATTGAACCTGCAATCAATGTGTGCCCTGGACTGAAAATCAAACCTGCAACCCTTCAGTGCAAGACCAATGCTCTAACCACTTAGAACACTAGCCAAAGATTTCTTTTCCCAAACCACATGGAACCTCCTTTGATTCACAAGGTCTGTGATTTCCACTGTTCTCAACCACTCTCAATAAAATAAGACTGATAATGGAGGAAAGAATTTTATTTCATTAGCAAAATATATTTTTTATTCTTTAAGTGATCTTCAAATGGGCCAATAAAGAATTAAGACTTACCTTTACACATTGTTCAGCTAAGTCTCTGCTAGTCCTGTTGTTAAGTTCTACCACAACCAAACGATTACAAAGTGCTTTTATAGCTCCATCGACCCCAACAATTCTTCGGGTGCATTCTGCAGATACATCCAGGTAGTATGTTATAGCACGGGCTGTTACCTCCAACACATTGTCTGGAGCACTTTCGTCAAGAAAAATTTTGCAGAGGGCTGGTAAGAAAGTGCGAGGAGGACATCTGCAGTAAAAGAAATCATATTATACCTAGAATTAGTAAATAATTAACATTAAAATCATATTAATAGATAAAACTATATAATATATCATGTTCATATTGGATCGCATGTGTATTAGGTAATATTTCTCACATTGATTTCAATCTCCTAGCAATATTCACATGCTAATCTCATCATTGCTGAAAATATCAAGGTATAAACTATTGAAAGTAGCAGCATTAACTTGAAACCATGTTTAAAAAATTCCTATTCAATACTCAGCTGGAACATCAATTGCTCTGTAAAACCCTCCCTAACCTATCCAAATAGTTGTGGTTCTTTCATGTTCCTCAAACCTCATAAAAACAGTGCCCACACTGTTTAATGTATCAATTTATTTCTTTATTTACATTAAGAGTTTCTGAAGGCCAGGAACATTCTTCAATTCAAATTTTATGGGAACAAATGTTGATTTGGGGTTTAAAACACAGAACAACAGCTATGTAATCTTTCTGATCCTGTTTCCTCATTCATAAAACAAAGATAATATCACCTCGCTGGTGTGTCTTAGTGATTGAGCATCCACCCATGAACAAAGAGGTCACTAGTTTGAGGCCGAGTAGAGAGCATGCAAGAGGCAACTGATCGATGATGTTTCTTTCTTATCAAAGTTTCTATCTCCCTATCCCTCTCCCTTCCTCCTCTCTCTCTAAAAAGCAAAAATAATTTTAAAAAAACAACGATAAGATCTTATCAATCCCTACTTTATATGGATATTATAAAGATTAAATGAAATTATATACATTAAACACTTAGCAAAGTACCTTGTCACAATATTAAAATAATTAATTTTAGCTACCCTTCCCTCCTATGAACAGTCTAACACAGTGATGGCGAACCTATGACACGCGTGTCAGAGGTGACACGCAAATTCATTTTTTTGGTTGATTTTTCTTTGTTAAATGGCATTTAAATATATAAAATATCAAAAATATAAGTCTTTGTTTTACTATGGTTGCAAATATCAAAAAATTTCTATATGTGACACGGCACCAGAGTTAAGTTAGGGTTTTTCAAAATGCTGACACGCCGAACTCAAAAGGTTCGCCATCACTGGTCTAACACATGCTATTATAAACCTGAGTAACACAGTTTTATCAAAGCAGAATTTTTAAGTTATCAATAATATCCCCTATATTTTAATCAACATTTAAAATATAAAAGACCATAATTTACATTTAGTAGAAATCTTAGTATATGACATCAAATACATTATTCTAACTCTCTGCATATGGGCTACAAGTAACACAAAACAGTGTTCTCCATGTTTTGGTGAAATTATTTTTCCTTCAATTCTTTTTTTTTTTTTATTTTTTATTGATTAAGATATTACATATGTGTCCCTGTCCCCACATCACCCTCCACCCCCCCCCCGTTGTCCGTGTCCATTGGTTAGGCCTCTCTGCCTGCATGGA